GCGGGAACCGGTCTTCACATGGGATCCGAACCCGCGGCGGGAGCGCCGCCACACTCCCAAGCGGCGCACTATCCAGTGCGCCACTGGGCCGGCCCAAGCACCCGATTCTAAACTCATTATCGTTAATTCACAGTCGCTTTCACCCAGCCAGCTGACACAAATCATACTCACTTCATTCCTGCAGCAGCAAGTAAACTTCATTCAAAAAGAACACACACAAGTGATACACACAACTGGGGAGATGCTAGAATGAGGAACCCACTCTGCAGCTTCTGGGCCTGACAGCATCTCAGAGGAGGCACCAAGCCCTTCCTGGATTCCTCAGTGACAGGCCCAATCAGGAGGACCCTGCCCATGCTGGAGGTAGAGATCTTTGCTTGTTTTTATCAACTAATGTATCTCCAGCCGGAACACTGCCCGGTACATGGCAATACTCAGACATTAGGCCAACCACAGTCAGGAGGGACAGACACAAAACACAAAACGTCAACTATGTGCAGTAAAAATCATTTCCCCAAAGGCCAGACCCTCGTGTTCTCTGATCAGTCCTCTTTCTCTCAGGGAATCGATGTGGATGTCAAGCCATGATGAGAATCTTTCTTGGTGAGCAGTGGATCAGGAGTGGAGGGATGATCTCCATGGCTGGTCCCTGCAGGTTGCTACCCTCATGTCTTCAGTCAGGCAGCTGGGCTGTGTGCACCGTGGGGACGAGGCTCTTCCTCCATCACTGTCCAGCCTCTTCTCTTCAGACTCCCCTACTCAGTTAAATAAGCATTTGGGGCTATGCTCACCCACTCAGTTATATCCGCTACTTCTCGCCTCAGGCAGTTCCCACAACTGCTGAGAATCTGGGTCATCATTTAGCAGCAGAACTCCCTGCTAGGCCCAGGGCTGTGCCATGTCTGGCCCATTCTCGGCTGCACTCCCAGGTCTAATGTTGCCTGGCACAGGCGGAGAGCTCCTTACACATTGGTCAGATGGTTGCAAGTGGACCTTATGACCAGATTATAGATACTCCCCTAGCTCTAGAAAACACCATTTAAAAAAAAACATTTTCCTACATTGGATCATATCTAAAAATGAGCTAATCTCATTCATGACATTCAGTTTCGGTGGTGAGGTGCTATTACTTCCAAGTGTTACATCTAAGCAGTGAAACTACCCTAGGAAAGGTGCAGCTACATTCACTGTAATATAT